ATACTTCAAGATTCATCGCGGAGCTTTGCAAAGCCCAGTTTTGCTTTCGCACTGCACTTCGACACATGCTCATCTCTGCAAATGGCTATGCCATACGCAGGCAGACTTTTAAAGGACTGTCAGATCTACCTTTTTAATGTTCACCTCTTACTGGCCAGCAAATGGCCAAAACCTTAATCACCACAAGAAATTTGATCTTTTGGAGAAGCCCGCTTTGTGCTGAAACTACGGTGTTACTGTAGCCTTTGTCTTTGCCTTTCCCTAGCAGAGAACACCATTTTGTGCTCTCCTGCATTTTTCTTCCCAAAGTGGATAATGACTGCAGAAAACGTAAAGATGGTGTTCTCGTGCTGCAGAAAAACAGCAACATAGCCCCAAAGAGAAGCAGCATTTTTACTTTTACAGGTGCAACGGGACAAATAGCCTGGTTTGTATTTTCTGCTCACCCTCCTATTAATTAAAAAAAACTCTACAATATGCAGCCATCTATCTGTACTGATGCAGCATTGTGAAACTTTAATGTCGTTCTTTTTATTCAAGCGTTCAAAGGAAAGAGGAAGAAAAAGATTTTACCTTAAGAAAAAAGGGGCAAATCAGCGTTTATTTCAGCCGAACTGTGCTGGGTTACCCTAGGCCTAAATATGTACCTGGCAGTCCAGTGTTTAGAAAAATACTGCTCTTCAGAAAAGCGAGGAATACACTCAGGATTTTGCACAGCACATCTGAAGCCTCATCAAACCCGTGTTCTGCACGATAATTTTTTCCTTTAACCATTTTTTGCTCTCCTTAGATAAACCAAAACAGAGCCAATTACCGTCCAAAGGACCAAGCAAATCAGCTGGGTAACAGAAATGGCTGAACAGTGAAGGTGGAATAGCAGGTGCACAATAGTTGCTTAGCAGAGAACGCTGTTTAACATGAATGGGTCTTGCTTAGTTTTTGCTGCAGGGGTCACATGTGGAAACAGTTCTGAGAAAGCAAATCTAGAAAAAGAATACAGAAATTCCTATTTCTAATTTCTGTAACTTGTCCAGGACATGAAAAAAGCCTGAAAAGACAAAAACCACTGTTAAGCCCTACAAAGTGTCCTACCCAGAGGAAGCACTGACAGCCGTAATACTGAGAAATCAAGTTCACACAATAGACTATTGCCTGTCCATTCATTTTATAGCAACTTTGCCAGGGATAAAGTTCTGTTTTAAACAGCAAAACAAATAAACAAATAAAAAATCTTTTGACATAAATAGCTTGAGAGTTTTTTAAAAGGTGAGGTGCATACAAAGCAGAAGATCTCTAGAAAGCCCCATTTAATATGAAGCTTTCAGAAGAGGCATTTCTACTACCACGTCTTAAAACTGTTTCAACGTGCAACATGATAATCTAGCACACGCTCAGAAAAATTAATTTTCCCTTCAAGAAGACACTAACAATATTTATTTTTAAGGTTCAAATACCTCTTTCAGAAAGTACAAACATCTGACAAATTTACTATTGGTTGGATGTTTTCCTCACCTTTTTTTAATTCCAAGCAGATCTTCACATTTTAAAATTCTCCTGCAATACTGACTCCAAACAAAGCACAACTGTATCAATGCTTTAAGGCAAAAACCCAAAAACGAACGCAACGGACGTTGCACTGACGCACGCTTGAGTCTTTAAAATCCAGCAGCTAACAGAAAAGCAACGTTAGTAGTGAAGAACACATGGTGAAAGGGGTGGATCTGATATTTTCATTAGTCAATATTTTAATTATAACCTATGAACGCAAGTGAGGAATATACGTATGTTATTGTGATAATGTTATTTTTATTGGATATTTTAAATGCATGTAAGATGCGTAACTTTCCCATCTGGCTTCCCTTCAAATCCAAAGCTGGTAGACTTAGGGAAAATAACGAATAAAGAAAACAGAAAGGTTGGTTTCAGTATTGCTTGTATTCAGTGTTACTTGCTGCTTACATACTAACTCCGTGCTGTCTGTTTGGCTCAGCTTTGAAGGCAAGTTTTCATTAAGAGGGAATGATGTCGGAATTGTTTTGCCACTTCTTTTGTTTAAATCCCTTATTTTGCTGCATTACAGAACCCACATTTTAAATCTAACAGTAGATGGCTGGAAGCGTTTGTTTAAATAATACAACAACGTCAAGAAAAATAAGGGAAGATGTAACATTTTATTTGAAATGACACAATCCAAAGAAAAGAAATTAAAACGAGGAAAAGGAGCGAGAAAGCGAGCAAAAGAAAGCATCTGCTGTCTTAGACAAAGGAGCTGTAGCTACTCTTTTTGGGGGCAAATCCATAATACAAATATAAACTAAAAAAGGAGGAGGCATGGAGGTCTGCAACAGTTACAGGCTTTGGCACGCTCCCTTCTCGAGGGAGAAGGGTGCCGAAAGAAAAGTGGTGCCCACAGCCCAGGGGCAGCACCCCAGGCTGCCACGGCGCCCCACGCCGGGCAGCGGGAGCTCGGGGATGCTCCCCCCCACTGAAAAGCCGCGTATGGCCCCCTGCTTGTTCCTAGAACCAGCTCAACGGAGTCCAGAGAAACGTTCCCAACGGTAAACACCGGAGCAGCTAATTTGCCGGATCGCTCCCTGAGCCAGCAACAACGTGAGGTAAACCTGCGCTCCGCTCCCTTACGCCAGTGCAGGAGCGTCTTCCAGGCATCTCTAGCGGCCTGAAAAGCGACAAAGCCAGCAAGCCTAGAAGCATCCAAGCCCGAGAGCCCAAACTTACTGCGATACACATTTTTACCTTGATCCTGCGCTTACATCTGTGCGTCGACAGGCGCAGAAGCCCCTAAGCTTACTATTGCAGCGTTACTCGTTCTTGCGACGGCGACATTGTAAGATTCGCCCGTACGCACCCCTCGTCTGTGCTCAGTTTTAACCCTGCTGTGTTTTAGACAACTTGGTTGTCACCAGCAATTCAGGTTTTGGGGTTTTTTTTTTTGCTCTTTTTTTCGATAGAAGGAAGAGATGTGGAAAAGCAGTACTTCGGCTGAAGATGTGTTTACAGTCTGAGTAATTATTTTACGATCTGTCATTTGATTTCGCAGATTTTCCTGCT